TTTCTACATTTTTTTGTTGATTTGCTTTGTTTTGTTTTTTTGAATGTCCAGAGGACCAGATTTAACTTTTTTAGATTGAAGCTAAATCCTTCTCTCAAAACTGGCTGGTGGCTTGAGCATGTGGGCGTGGCTGAATGACCAATTCCAATCCACCACTGTTTGCATGCAGTTGGCTCTAAATCACAAAAGCATGATCAGGTTTGCTCCAAATTGGATATAAATGACCTTTGTTAACCTGTAAAGAACTCAATAGGATTATATCAAGATTTGACTCCAATGCGCTCCCTAGATTACTCCATCAGCTGTAGCTCACAGATACCTCATGCAATTTGCACCAGAATTTTTGTGCGTCATCAGTGAGCACTTCTAGACACATTGTTATTGTTGTTTCATGACATGACTGAAGCCCCACCCACTCAGAGAAGAAACAAAGGATCAATGGGCGACTCTTCCAGCTTCTTCCTGTGTATGATATAAGATTGAAACCGTATTCGCTAACTGTTCATAACCACATGACATGTCAAAAAGCCTAAAGGAAGTCCTCGCCAAACATTTGCCACAAAACAGGAAGTGACAATACCTCCTGTCTGGAAGGTCGGTACATTTGTTAGACTTGTAACTGGACAAGTGTTGACATGGACAGAAGGCGATGTCGAAATTTCAGCAAATGTGCCCCCTGGTGAACGCGTGCGGGATTGGTGTGAGAGCGTTTGCGATGGCGCCTTAGTGGAGTACCTGCAGTTCTCGCAGTTGCGATATGGCCGAAGCGGCGCTTGGCTGCGAGGGCCTTCAACTCTTCTTGCAGCTTTAATTAGGCCTGAGCAGTAAAGCACTGCAAAGGCCTATTGTAATCGCTCAGTTCATTAGGCCTGAGCAATTTTTCTGTCAAATGAATTGGCCTTTTGCGGGTCTTAACATATCCCAAAACTCAACAAATTTGGCGAACGCATGAGAACTGGTGAAAAATTACATATTTATAAGGCCACATCACAACAAAAGTTGTCTCAGGGCACAGTACATAAACATTCACATACATAAGTATATTAGTAGTGTGCAATAGTAGTACTGTTAGTAGTAGTAGAAGTAGTAGTGGTAGTAGTAGTAGTAGTAGTAGTTGCAGTATTATTATTATTAGTAGTAGTACTAATAGTATTAAAAATATTATTATTATTATTAGTAGTAATTGTAGTATTTTTAGTTTTAGTAATAGTAATATTATTATTGTTAGTCGTAGTAGTAGTAGTAGTAGTAGTAGTAGTAGTAGTAGTAGTAGTAGT